TGGAAGGAGAGCAGGTTTGCAGAGCGGCTGGGCTTGAACTCCAGCCCCACCCCACACCCGCTGTGTGGCCCTGGGAAAGTCACCTCACCTCTCTGAGCCCCCAGTTTCTGTGGCTGACAAACGCCACCTTCTCATCTTCAGACCTTCCCTCCTCCACCTGACTTTGGATCCACACAGCCCAGAATATGAAGTAACGGCCCTCCTCCCATGACCCCCATCTCACTTTGTACTCACACACGGTCAGGTCAGGGTATTGGCTATTTGACCACAGCCCACTCCTCTGCTGGGCTGGGAGCCCCTGAAGGGCCTGGTCTGCTTGCTCATCATTGTAGGTGCACAGCCAGGATTTATTTCTTGCTGAATGAATTCATAATGACCACACGGACCTGTCCCTTTACCTCTCAGAGCCTCACTTTCCTCACTGTAAAATGAGAATAAGAATTTCTTTTCTTTGCGGGTGTTAAGTGTGATAAATCCCATATCTGGGAGACCTTTGTTAAGCTCTTATTACAATCTAGGCTTCGGGGAGAGGGCAGCGAGCAGGACAGGTGTGGTCCATTACCTTCCAGCATCTACCAACTAGTGGGAGAGGTTTTAGCACCTAGGACAGCGTCCCGCCAGATGCTCTTTGTTGAATAAGGAGCCAATGAGTGAACGAATGAATGAATGATGGAAGGAGATTCCTCTCCCACCTGTGGCTCTCTTAATTCCCACCTGTAGCATTTCCACTACACATCTTCTGGGGAGTTGCCTTTTATGCTGACAGCCTAGAGACTTGGTTCCACTCTGGGGTACCCGGCCCTCTCTGGGCCTCATTTTCCCATCTGCAAGGTGGGGGATGGGGCACTCATCTCAAACTCCCTTTGACTGGGGAGGGATGTTCTGGTTCCTGTAGACAGGACCTCAGAAGCTTCCAGACCTCCCTTCTGGTCCGGTTCTTCCATAGGTCTGACTCTGACGCCAGCTCGGTTCCCAAGGGGGAGGGTTAATTACTCACGGGCACTATCTGCACATCTCCCAGGCCTCTTATCTGGGACGTAAGCATTTAGGCAAACACATTAGGCCAGGCCCGGCACATGGGAACCGGAGCCTTTTGACAAACATCTCTGGGCTTCTCTCGGCCGTGGAGGACGGACGCGGGTGCTGGCCTCCGCTCCTCACTTGCCCCTGACCCCGAAGGCCTCTCCGGCACCCACACCTTCAGGATGGACCCACAGCTCCTGAAACTTCCAGGCACCCGAGTTCGGTCCTCCCCCAGGACCGTGTTCAGCAAGACTGAGCTCTGCACCGGCCCTCTCCCCACCAGCCCGCTCAGCTAGACAGCTCAGCTCCGACAGGGCCTCAGTCCATCATGGCGAGGCGGAGAAATCCTACACAGAGCTCCATGGCCATGCCTGGGAGATTAGGGGATTCTCGGTGATTTAGATTGATCAACCGATTTTCCTGGAGGAAAGCGGGGCTGTCACTGAACATATGCCGTCCCCCAGGCCTGGGCTCAAACTCTCACGTGCACCAGTCTCACCCCTGCTCCCACCAGCCTGTGAACTGGCGTCTCGGGCTGGAGGAGCTGAACCCCAGAGATGCCAAGTGACTTCCTTCGGGGATCTGGGGAAGGAAGGTCGCGCTGCCCGGGCCCCTTGGGGGCAGACCCTGGGGCGGGTGGCTCCCTTTCCTGTCTTCCCCATCATGTTCACCTGACCCTAAGAGATGGATGCCGTTATTACCCCAGAGGCGGAAACTGAGGCTCTGAGGTGTGAGGCCACGTGCTCCAGGTCCCACGGTGGCTGAGGGGACAGCACCATATCTCCTTCCTGCCGCCGGGGGACTTCAAAGTCCCTTCTCTGTGTTCTGCACTACAAAGCCCACGGAGGGAAGCCCCTTTGGGGAAATGGAGATAGAAAGAGAATTCATAACTATGAGATATTTGCGTGGATTTCTACCATGTACAAGGGATTTTCACATATTTATCATCTTGTGATTCCACCGCAACTCTTTGGGGTAAACAGCATAGGTGTTTATTTAACAAATATTTACATAGTACGTACCGTGTGCCAGGCATTCTTGTAAACGCCTTATAAATATTAAGGTGTTTAACCTGCATTCAAAAGCCCCTGAGTTAGGCTCTATTATTTTCCCCATTTTGTAAATGAGGGAGCCCAGGCACAGAGTGGGTGAGTCACCGACTTGAAGCCACACAGCGAGTGAGTGACGAAGCTGGGATTCCTTCTCCAGCAGTCTAGCTCCTGGCTCTTCCCCCTTGTTCTGAGGCTCTCTTGTCCCCACGTTTTCAGGTTGGGGAGGTTTAGCGCAGGGCAGGGAGGGACCTGCTACAGGTAAGTGGCAGGGCTCAGCCTTGAATGAAGCCCCTGGGTCCCCAGCGTGGAAGGGCCTCTTTGTCCCGCAGCGAGGTTGATGCGCTTAGATCTGTTTCGGGGAAGCGTTCCTCTGCCCCAGGGTTGAGGCTGAGGAGAATGGGGCCCTAAGTGACAGGCAGGGCCGAGCGGGGATTAATAGAAGTAGAGACTGTGCCTGAGCCCCACACGCCGGCTGCAGAATCAGTGAGCTTTAAGACCCTTATCTCACCGCGGAAATATAATAATCCCTCCCAGGACATGTGGCCTCGCTTTCTTCTATTCCTCATCTTTGTCCTGCTGTTTATCGCACTCAATCCCCCGACGGCCTGAGAAATAAGCGGGAGCAAGGGCGGTATTGCGTGTCGTGCACTTCTCAGGTATTTAGTGCTGGGGGCTGTATCATTTGCTTTGGGGGTTCCCATCAAGGCAGAGCCTGAGGCAAGGATTCGGGTGCAGGTAGTTTATTTGGGAGCGACCTCAGGAAACACCCGCGAGGGAGGAAAGGAGACAAGAAAAGGAAGGAAGACGGTACAAGATGCAGCCAGGCCGGCCGAGAAGCTGTGCAGCACGTACCTCAGGATCGACACCCCCCCCCTACAAATGTGGAAGCTGGGGTATTTATCCACCAGTTCCCTTCCCTCATTGAATGAACATCTCTTTGGGGCGTTGTTGCTCTGGTCTACACATGTGGGCCCAGTACGGCCATGGTGGGGTCTCCTCTGCAGTGGGGATGCCCAGGATGCCAGCCCAGCATCCACTTCCTCACCCCATTAGTGTGTTCCTGCTCCTGCCACCTCTGTTAACTGAGCACTTATTATGAGCCAGCCTCCTGCTAAAGGCTTTTTCTGAATTATGGCACCTAAATCCCCTTTCCGTGGACTGTAGGACTGACAGGTGAGGAAACTGAGGCACAGTGAGGGCCCCTCACAGAATCTGTGGGAGGGTAACATTCAGACCCAGACACTTCATCATCAAGCACTTGAGAAGCACCTGTCGTGTGATCGGTCCTGGCTGGGACTACAAAACCCACGTCCATTACCGTTGACCTTGGCACCTCTCTGTGTGGTCCCAGTCTCGTCCCTCCAGGGTACAGAGACTGTATTTTCTAGATTCTCCGGGATGGCCCCAGTTGCAAGTACTTTTTTTTTTTAATTCTTTTCAATAAAGACAATTTGTGAAATATAGAATCAAATGCATGCTAACGTTTAAACCTTTGTAAGACTTTTTGCATGAATAAATACACTCTTCCTTCTCCATGGGGAAGCCATGTCTAACAAGAAATTCTAGTTTGGGCTGGGAAAACGTGGCCATTGAACCAAAGGAAAGAAAGCCTAACTCAGCCTCAGAACGTAGGGCTCCAGAGAGCCCCTGTCTGGGCCTCACTGACTGAGGTCATTGGGGTTCCCCAGCCCCTCCCTAGGGCCTGGAACATCTCAGGGCTCCCTAGGCAATGGACCTCACCCCCTCTCCTTCCAGCAGTCTTGGCCTTCTGTGCCTCCTGTCAGGAGTAGGCCGCTCTTGGGCATCGTGGCTCCATGCTTAGGATTGCAGGCCCTGGGTTTGAGCCCCACAGTGTGCTGGCTTGTCACCCGGCCCTGGTTACCTGCATGCTCCGGGCCTCAGGTTCCTCCTGTATGAGGTGGGGCTAATATGGTAGCAGCCACACCCCCTCCCGGAGAGCCAAGTTCTGTTCACTGTGAACAGGGATCCTGTGCCTGGGAGGCGCACCCTTGGTCTGGGCACAGGGCAGGCCAGAAGTGCAGAGAGCCAGTGTCCCCAAAAGCCGCCCTCGACCCAGGATGGACAGGAGGCTTCAGGACAGGGTGGATGCCCCACGTCCTTGATCTCGGGTGGACATGGCACATGCATCTTCTACACTGGCTCCCAGAGATCCCCAGCAGGATGGAGCTCTAGGCGCCCACAGTGGCCGGGGGCCGGCGTGATGAGACGCCCACCCTTGGCTGCCTCCTCTCACTGGCCTTTCCTGGGTCACCTCCCAAAGGAGCCACCTGCACTTGAACTGTTTTCTGAGTCTACCTCTGGGGGACCCCAAACCAAGCCATCGTCGTACCTACCTTTACGGCAGCTGAGGGGATTTCGTGAGTCTTCGTAAAACACAGAACAGAACCTGTGTGTGCCCGTGCGGTTGGGTGAATGTCCCTGTCATGAGTTCATCAGACACGCCGCGTGCTGCCGTCTCGTCTCGTCTCTGTGCCTTTGCTCCTGCTGTTCCCTCTGCCTGCTCTGCCTTTCCCTTCCTCCTGACCTGGCTCGTGCCAGGGTGTGCCTCCGGATTCCGTTCAGAGGTCCTTGACCTCCCTTTTATTGGCACTTGCCCAGGGAGGGGATTCCCTACTCTGTGCTCCCACAGGCGTCCTCCCTTCCTGGCGTTTACACCCAGGATTATAATCCTCTGCGGACTGTCCCTTCTCGCCATCCGTTCTTCGAGGCCAGAGACCACATGTCCTTGCTCCGTGGTCCTTTGGGGAAGGAAGGTGGGCACGTGTGCATGTGACACGTGTCTGCACAGACTAGGGACCCAGCAGACACGGAGGGACGGTGGCTTCCAGCCCACACGGGAAGGACTCCGGACCCTCAGCTCCTCTCCCCCCGCTTCCCCCCTCCCCACCACCTCCTGGGGTCACCATGAGGGACAGGATGCTGGGCCAGGGGGACCTCGGAGAAAAGACGAACATCCAGGATGATGAGAACCGGCTTTGGGGAGGAAGGATCAAGGACCTTAAGGTCAGGGCGTCCCCTGGTGAGGAAGCCGGAGAGAGAGAGACAGGCAGAGAGGGAGCCGAAAGCTTTGAGGCCTGCTTTGTTTCATTTCTATTTTGATGATAACAATGGCTATTTAATGAGGGGGATGCTGAGCCAAAGTTTCCCCCATCTGCCCAAGATAAAAAAAAAAAAA